GTCAGAGCCATTTTGGAGGCAGTGAGATAGAATAGCAGGGAAAAAGCAATGAACTTTGGAGTCAGGAGCTTGAGTTTAGATTTGTTACTCACCAGCTGTGGGATTTGGGGTGAGTCGCTTTGCTTCTCCAACATTCAGTGCCTCATAGATAATATTGGTATACTGATACTCTCTTGCTTACCTTCCTGAGCCCTTATTATAAGGGTGAGTATACAAACACACACAGACACACACACAAGCTTCTTCGTAAAGTTCCAAATCACTGTACAAATTATTTATAATGTTTTTCTGCCTTTAGCCAAAACAGATTGGCACATGTCTCTGGCAAAAGAGATACTTAGTTAAATGATGTTTTTAGGCTAAATATTCTTTTGGCAATCCTAATGATGTATCAGCTTCTACGTAAGAGCTTGCCTAATTGACTGACTCCTTTACCAGGTCCTCCATCCCTCATAGTAGTGGTGGGGTGGGGGCAGTACCCCCAGAGGACAACAGTTACCAGGTTTCTGTCCCCAGGAGACTGGCCAGAGCTGCGACTGGTGGGTGGCTCCGGTCGGTGCTTGGGTCGTGTGGAAGTCCTCCACCAAGGGGCCTGGGGCACTGTGTGTGATGACCTGTGGGACCTGAACGAAGCTGAAGTTGTGTGCCGCCAGCTGGAGTGCGGCCGGGCCGTGTCTGCCCTTGGGAAGGCTCACTTCGGCCCAGGCTCAGGGTACATCCTTCTGGACAACCTCCAGTGTGCTGGGGTGGAGCACTACCTGGGCCAGTGCACCCACTCGAGCTGGTGGGAGCACAACTGCAGCCACCACGAGGATGCCGGTGTCATCTGCTTAGGTAACCTCCCCTCTCAGACAGTCACCTCCAGTCCCAGAGTGCTGAAGACCACCTTCTAGTGTTCAGAGTCACCCAGGGACAAAGACAGGATCCTCAAACATGTAGCATTCAATTTGTGCCTTATCTATTCTAACTTGGTTAAATACTCAAGGTTTTAACTGCTAACCTCTCAGAATAAAATCTTTTAACTTGGTAGTAAGAATTACCAAGGGAATATGTGCTTTACTGGATATAGACATGTATAAGGAACATGTTTTCTTATGGGCATTTTTAAGGAGTTTATATAAAGATCTTTCATTTAAAGGGGGAGCTTGGATAGCAAAACTAGGACAGATTCTGAGCCAGACCAACCTGAGGTGCACCTCAGAGCCGGTGCTAGCTGGGCAACAGTTAAACTCTTGGAGCCTCAGTGTCTGTATTAGCAAAATTAGGAGACTAATTGCTTTTCTGCAGAATTGCCATGAGGGTTAGATGTATCTTTGTAAAGCACTACACAGTACCTGAGAAAGAGTAGAGGCTGCATATTCGGTAATTTTTACTACCATTTTCCTCACTCAATCACACCACCAAGCAAATCAGTGAATTAAAATGACTGATTTTAATTGCCTTGTGACAGTTAAAAAAATATTTTAGATTTACTCATGTATAAGCAATTAGCTTGGAATAAGTTAGTCATCTCTGCAATGTCTATTAATAACACTTTCCAATATTATGAGATGCCTTTTGGTAAACTAACAGCTGTCATGCATGGCGTGGCTTGAAAGAATCAGTAGGCTTAACTGTCACAAAGTGGTGCTCATGACATAGAGTTGCCCATTGTGGGAAGCAGCTCAACCGTTTCTCAGTACCTGCCATCTGTGACATTTAATTTGAGGCACATATTTAAAGCCATTGTTTTGTTTTTTGGCACATTCATGTTTGTGTTTGCTTTGTGGCACCTGGTGATGTGTGGACC